TCAGTTTTATTATTTTTAAATCAACTGTATTGAGGTATAATTTTCATACAGTAAAGTTCATCCACTATAAGTGTACAGCTGGGTGACTTTTGTAAACAGCTGGGCACCACCACCATTATCAAGACATGTAGAACGTTCCATCCTCTCAGAGGCCACTTCATGGGCGTGCTTGCGAAAACACGTGTGGGCACCTGAAACTAATTTAAAAACAAACAAACAAAAAAACTGTGTGCGGGAATGTCAAGGGCAGGGCAGGCGGTGGACGGTTCTGCCTGCTGCGTGATGGAGCCCTGAGCCAGCTGCAGGGGCCTGAGCCTGGCGGTCTGGAAGGCAAAGGTCCTTGTCTGATGTTTCAGGTGCCAGGAGCAGCACAAGGGGTGGTGCTTGCAGGGAGCGCTTCAGCTCAGGGGAGGAAGTGCTTCCTAACGATCAGAACTGACTGATGATGGAGCAGCTGCCTCCTGGGGTGCAGAGCTTCTCACTGGGATGTGCAAGCAAGGGCTGGGCTTTTAGAAGCCGTCCCTCACCCGTGGTGAACAGATGGTGGGTTTGAACATCCTGCTGGGTCCTCGCTGCTCCAGTGACACTAAAGATACTAGTTATTACTCTCTGCTTAGTGCATACTGGGCACCAGGCTCAGGATTTCCCGTGGATTATCTCCCCCCGACTTCCCAATAATCCTTTAGTATCAGTTCAATTCTTGCCATCCCCTTTCTACAGATGAGGAACTTGAGCGGCTGACACAAGGTCCAGCAGAGTAGGGAGTGGAGTGTCTGGCCTCAGAGACCAAATTTGTATCCCCCACAGGTTATCCCCTTAGATGCTGCCTCCTCTGAGTCACTTGGTTTCTTGAACTGTTTCCTGCAGTGGCGACACCACTACCTGGTGTATAAACCTGGTGGGTCACTTGGCCTCTCTGACCCTTTCCTCATCTGTGAAGCAGAAATAGCTAGAGCTTGGCTGCCTGGCCCCCAAACCCCAAACTCTGGCAGAGACACAGGACCACTGCGGAACGTGGCACACCCAGCACCAGGCCAGCGGCCTCTGGGGCCCTCCTCCTCCCAGCTCTAGGGCCTGGCATGAGCATTTCCAGATTGCCTTCCTTCTCTGCAAGATCACCTAAGCCAGCGGTTCTCAGCCTTTCACAGGGGTTGCCTAAGACCATCGGAAAACACATCTTTTCGATGGTCTTAGGAACCGAGACACTGCTCCTCTATCTGTCTCCAGGCCCACATGCACATACACCCACATACGAGTGCCCCTGTGAAAGGGTCATTCGACCCCCAAAGGGGTCGTGACCCACAGGTTGAGAACCACTGACCTAAGCGACCTGTTCCCCAAATACATCAGAGTACTTGTGGCCACTCCTCTCCACCCAGCAGGTCCTGACTGGCCTGGCCCCTGGTCTCCACAAAAGAACTGACTGGCCTCACTTGCTTAGCCACATGGGCAAAGCAGATCCTGACAGCCAGCCTGGCTCCCTCCTGCTGAGCAGCTCCTCCCAGAGCCTCCCCTTAAGAATTCTGAGCCTGCTAGTCTGAGCACCTTTGGCCCAGGCTCTAGCTCCACCCACTTCTAGAAGCCTCCTTCCTCAGTCGTCTCCCTCTTTCCTTCCTGGGTGAGTCAATTAAAGGGCCAACTGTTCAAGTACCTGAGACTTGATTCCCTCTTTTGCAAGTGCTTGTAACTTGGCGCACGTGGAGAAGTAGCCCCACTTTTCACTAGAGGAAACTCAGGCTCTGAGAAGTTACGGGATTTGTTCGAAGCCGCGTTGGGCTGAGAACCCGCCGAGTTGCCCTGGGTGGCCCCCTGCCTCACAGTTGTAGGGATTGCAGCCCTCAGGGTCCAGCCGAGGCCCACATGAGGTGGGCGATGGTGGAGCCTGCTTGGTGAGGGGAGGCACAGTGGACTTGGCTAGTCTTGTATTTTTATGATCATCTTGGCCGGGGACATTAGTCTGCCTCCCTTTGTGCTGGGCAGTCAGCAGGTCCTGCTGATTCTCTGGCCCCTCCTCCATCCCCACTGCAGCCCTCTCTCACCTGGGCTCCAGCACCAGCCGGCCTGGAGCAGCCCTAGGCACTTCTCTAGCCCCTGGCTCTGGTAGGTTCCTGCTCTGGGACCCCTGCAGCCATCCTGGGGCAGCAGGCTTGGGCTGCCAGGCCCAAGGCTCAGCTCAGTTTGGGGACAGAAGGGCACACCCAGGGGAGGACCCGCTTTCCCAGGACAAACAGAGCAGCAGATGGCTTGGGCAGCTGGTCTCTGGAACCCTGCAGCTTCAGAAGCAAAAATGATCGGATAGGGCCCTGGCCGGGCTCGCCTCCTGGCACCCCTGAGGGCGGACCACAGACACAGCTGCCCCCTGCACATGGAGGCTGCCCCGTGGGCCCAGCTGTGCTGCTGCTGCTTCTGCCAGGGAGAAAATGTGGCTTTGTTGACCTCAGGGCCTTGAAACCCAGGCAGGGCTGTGATTGGGATGAGACAGGAGTGGATCCAGCCCACATGTGGGTGCTGCCCCAGCCAGTTGGACACTTTTCCACATGGCCTCCGCCCGGTGCTCCTATGGGCAGGGCAGTTTCCTGCGTTCTAGTAGGGGAGTTGAAATCATTAAAATAGGTCTCTTTGTTCAGAGGAATTGAGGAATTATGTCTTCATCAAAGGACTGCTCTCCAAGGACACAGAGCTAGGCTGTGCCAGCCTTGTCACTTCCCTCCAGGGAGCCAGCTTTGCCTGGGGCCGACCACTGCCCCTCCCCACACCCATGCATGAATGCCCATGGGCACAGAGCCATGCAGAAAAAGCCAGACTACCATGTAGGTTTTTGCGATAGTCACTAGGATTTATTCTCTTGCAGGAGTTAAGACAAATTATTAAAAACTGAACAACACTGAGCCTTATTTTTCCTTCTCAATTGTAAGCAGCTGTGGGGGACTTTACTGTGCCAGGCGCTGTCCAGGCCAGCACCTCCCAGGGTCACTAGTGACCTGGGCTGGAGGCAAAATGACCGTCACTGGTTCTGGACCTCTAGGCCCCATTGAAGTGGCCCAGAGACAATACAGGGAACACCGGAGCGGAGGCTGGGCCTTGCTCTGTCTCCGAGGCCCAGCACACCGCAGGTGCTTTGCAGTGTGGGATGGGGAAGACCTAGGTGCTGATGGAACTCCTTCCTGACCCTGAATCCCCGTGCAGCCTGAGCCTGCTGCTCCTCTACAATGTGGGAGTGAGTTTCCGCTGCTACTGCCTTTGGGGGTCAGGTGAGCCGACTTCACAATCAGCACTCCGAAGTGCACGGCAGGTCAGCTACGCGCTTTCCCACCCCCGGAAGTGGCCATCTGGGGAGTGCACGTCCTCTGCTAGTTCTGTGTAAGGAGAGAAGGGCCTGTGTGGAGCTGAAGCAGGATTTCAGCAGTGGACATGGCCAGGAACATTTCAAGTAGCACGGGGCAAGGGCCGTGGCCTCTGCGGGGTCAGGGGAAGGAATGGCCGACCCTGCACAAGGTGGTGACCGTGTTCTCTGTTCCAGACAGGAATTCCAGCCCTGGACAGGAATGAAGCCATCGAGATCCACAAAGGCGAAACCCGCCACAGTCATCACAACCCACAGCTCTGGATGGGACGGTAGCCCTGGGGGCAGCTTCCAGGTCAGCCAGAAGCTGGTGCTACAGGGCGGAGGGCTGGGCTCCTGGCTGCAGGGGGGGTGGGAACAGGCCTTTTTCCAGGGTAGGCACTACGAGGCAGTATGGCCAGGGGCAGCAGTGTCTGAGCACCCACTTGTCCCTCAACAGACAGAAAACCAAGATACTTTGTCGTTGGCCAGGTGGGTGTCCCTCTAGTGTTGGCTTCTCTGGTGAGCAGGGTCTCTTTCCCTCCTAAAGCCTATTCTTACCCTTGACCACTAGTCAAGCACTTGAGACCACTAGTGACAGGCACTTGTGTGAGAGCGAAGATGGGAGGTGGGGACTGTGCAGCTTCCTGATTCCACCCAGGGAGCAGAACGGAAGGTCCGTGTTCCGTATTTGACCTAATGCAGTGACCCCGCCCACTGCAGATGTCCCCCCACGGACCCTTCAGGTTAGTAGTCAACTCTTGGAAGACAAAGTGGAGGCTGGCGGGAGGGAGTTACTTCCCCTGAACTGCGGGGAGTGGGAAAGCGGAGGAAAAGGCCTGCTGATATGTGGCCACATTTCATTTTTCAGGTCTCTGAAGTGAGGAAGAAGTTTGCCCCTAACCCCTCAGCCATTTTTCAGGCATCAGCTCCCCGGATCCTCAACGTGTGACTGCCCACCTAGAGGAGATCGCCACGGGGTGGGTCAGAAACACTGCCGCCAGCCAGGGCACTGGGGTGAGATCTTGGACCGATGTCCCCCGCCGCCAGAGGGGGAAGGGTCCTTCTTTCTTACTGTGGGCACCACTGCTTTCCAAGTGGCCACCAGGGCTGCAGTCCGGGCGCAGAGCAGAGGCACAGATGGCCACGGTACCACCCAGCTCAACTCTGGACCTCAGCCACCCTCTTCTTCCTCCAGAAGCGTGTGGAAGGCTTCTGATCTTTTTTAAATTGCCTCTTGGCCACTCTTCAGTTTTTAAATCCGAAGAACTTGAGGATCAATTCTATTGTGAACTGAATTGTCCCGGGGGGTAGAAGGCAGGGCTGAGAAATCTGGACATAACAGGTCCTTGAAAGAACGAGTAATGTCCACTCGGTTGTTCTCCCGGGCTGCATGAAAATTTTATAACTCACAGTAACCCAAGATAACGTCCTTGGGATGTTCCTGCACATGGCCCCCATGTTCAAGTTGTAGAAGAAATCTTAGGTTATCACCTGCCTGTGACTCATGATGCTGCTGAGTAACCTGGAAGAAGTTTCCAAAAGAAAGAGACTATCGTAAGGTTCCAATTTCAGAGACATAGGTTCTTTATGGCCAAGGTGACCCTTACGTTTTCACAAAACATTTCTTGGGAAGAGTGCCTGAAGGAGTGAATGAATGAATGCCACTTACCTTGTGGTAAGTTCCTGAGCCCCACATTTTATTACTAACTCTAGTTTTTTCCCTTAATATATTGGTAATTAGAATGGGACTGCCATCTGCACTGGCTAAGAACGGGAGTGTTTTAAAGAAGGCAGCATTAGCCTCTATCCCTGGAAGACCTTCTGACGTTACCGGCACCACCCAGTCCCCTCACATCCGCCTGCTCTTTTACAGGGAGCTCACTGCCTGTGGAGGAGGCAGCTCATTTTGTCCTTGGAAAGCTCTCTCCAGACTTTCTCCATCGATTTGACAGCGCAGCCACGTGAACAAATCTGGTCCCCTCTTTGCACAGCAGACCTTCACACACTTGGCGTTTATGTCCCTTCTTAAAAGATTAGAAGCACAAGCTTAGGCCAGTTTTTGGTCAGGATGCTCAAGGATTTCCCTTCGGATATTTATCCTGCTCCAGCCCACAAGTGGTTCTCGTCTGGTGAGCACTTACTTCAGCTGCAGGAGGCGGCGTAGGTGGTTCTGGTCTTAGAACCACATCAGAGTAGAGGTGGGGCTGTTTTCAGCTCAGGCTGCAGAGGGGGTTGGTTGTCCCCTCAGAGGTGCTAGCTCTGGCAGGCACAGCCCTTGCCCTCATTCCAGCAAGGGAAATGCTCTGAATCATTTTAAAGGGAAAACCAAAACCATATGCTTACACAAAGGGTTCTCTTATTTCAGACTTCATTGGTTTGCATGTTAGATGTTTCTGAGAGAAAAGAGACTTCCTGCTGGGCAGTTAGTGGGAAATGAACAGATTAACCTTACAATCTCAGATTTTACTAAAATGCAAAAATGTACTGTTTCAATTTGTTATTTAAATTATAAACACTGCACCTTTATCCTCCTATGATTTCCTTCATCCTCCCCTTGGTAATAAGGACTTGATGTACCATGGCTGCTGCTGGTGCCCGTGGAGGCCTGTCAATCCCGAGCACGCTTACTTCAGGCAACAGTCCACACTGGTGTTCTATGTCGTCTTTCACAAAACCCAATCTTCTGTTTCACATTTATCCCCTTCCCCCAGGAGCCGAGGGTAAAAGGACTGCCTTTGAAGCTAGCCTGGGACTCAGATCTTAACTTGTCTGCTCACTGGCTGTGAGCAGTTTAAACTTCTGTGCCCTCCTCTGCAAAGTGAGGCAACTCCCCTACCTTGCTGAGAATTGGTGTTTACTGGGTGCTCAGTACTGTAAATGCTGACAACTCACAACTGTTGTAATTCTTTCCTGCCCAAGCACCCCTTCCCCCTTTCCCAGGGAGCCGGCTCTATTCTCTTGTGCAGCTTTGGTCCATCTGCTGCCACCGACACAGGCCCTCTCACGAGACCCTGCCCGTCACACTGCAGCTGGCAGGGTCCTTTTCTCCCCCCCGAGACTGCCTGGGCGGCTCATTCATTCCTCTGCCATTCTGTCTGCTGTACCTCAGTGGGGACAAAGCAGGCCTGCCCCTCCTGGCAGCGCTGGCACCTCTGCAGGAGGCAGGCCTGATCTCAGCGAGGCATGCCGCACGCTGAGTACCTTTGTGCAATGCTCCAGGACAGACAGCTTTTCACAAACATCCAACCTCCACCTTCCTTACTCAACTTCATTCATTATGAGAAGATCTGGGTTCTAAAGGAGAAACTTCCTCCCACTCACCCCAGGTCTTAGTAAGGCCTAACATCATGCCACTGGAGTGGCCTTACGAAGCTACCGAGACAAGTCCCAACCATGGGCCCCTATGCACCGCATATATAATACACACAGGCCAAACCAGAAAGAAATGCACTTGAATATAGATGGCGGTTATCTTTAAGAAGGGGAATAATGGGTAATTTTTTAATTAATAAAGTTTTACATCTTACTATATTTGCTAAAGTTTCTATATAAGAAATTTTGTATTGTGTAACGAGAAACATTGAACAAAATAAAAACTAGTTCAACCTGTTAGCTAATGTCAGCCAAAAGAAAGAGTTCAACATTAATGATTCCATAACCAAAGCCTGCACTGCCAGGAGCCCACCTCCAGCAGCCGTGGGGCTGCACTACAAGGCCCATCCAGAGGGAAGCCCCCCAAGAGCCTCTCATCTGGTCATTTAGGGCAAGGTCCCACCTCTCTATGCTCTACGGTGCTTCAATCTCAGAAAAACCCATCACAAATACTAGTACTTTCATACTTGTAATTACTCCAAAAAGCAGTGTCTGAGAAAACCCTGGCCCTGCTGGCTGGTGGCCCTTGGCAGAGGGGGGAGCCACCCCTATGAGCAGGGCCCACCCCACTGGCCCATTCACCTAGGCTCCTTCAGTCAGTAAGAGGGACTGCCAGTGACACTGCTCTTTCACTGTCTGTTCTACGGCTCCTGTCAAAACCATGGCTGAGACAATGAACATTCAGGAAGGGAGCCTAAGCAATGCCCTTCCTCCCCTTCCTCCAGACCATTTGACTCCCTAGAGGTCGACACTTAGCGAAGTCTGGTCCCCAGAAAGCTACACACCTGGACTGTATCACAATGCCTCGTCCCTGCAGGGGAGGCTTTCAAAGCCTTTAGTTCTTCGTAAGCATGGATATAAAAAGCGGTCCTTCTGAAATGTTTCTGCATTTTTGGTCATCTTTTGCCCATGATGATAGCAGATGGTCACAGCCGGACTGTGTCACAGGAGAAACTTCTTTCAGGCCTCAGCGTAGACCATGTCTATGCTGCCAGACAAACCAGTGAGTTTCGTCATCAGACAGCAGCCTTGGCTTGGAGGGGGCTCTGAGCTCAGTTAGGCAGCTTTCCCTTGCCCTGCGCGGTCAGAAATCATCATGTCCAGGATCAACATGTATCTTCCAATTTTTCCTTCCGACTTACGTAACTGTCATCCTTTATCTTGCATAGCCTCAAGTTCTTTTTGGAAAGAAGTGGAAGAATGAAACACATATAACACCGGTATCTTTGCCCTATCCCAGCCCTTTCTAACCTAATGTAAGAAGACCCCTCCCAAAGGGTAGTGCCTCAAACTCAGAAAAACCCATCGCAAATACTAAAAGATTTATTGTAGGTATTTTTGTTACACAATTATGTTACACATTATGAATACAAATACATTTGAACATTAACACAGGGAATGTTAAGTCATTTAATAGTTCTTTTGCAAAAAGATAATTTCTTTAGGCTTTCACGCCTGTAGTACATGATTGATTCTCATTTGGACCAAATCTTCCGTCCTGTAAGCTGTCACAGTCCACTGCTGAAGGGATCTATACACTTGTCCATCACCCTTGCCTGGAGTAGTTCATGTACAGACTAGCCGAGCCTCTCCTACTATTCTGTTATCACTAAGCCAGGGCCCGGGTGCCTTACCAAACAGACTTCCTTCCTCAGATGCTGAATAAAAAAGGGTAGATTTCGCATCATGTCACCTCTCTGCCTTCTTTTCCTGACTCAAACATCTACAGGACTCATGAAAACACGAATTATGTGGCTTGGGTAAGTTTTTTTTTGATGTTGACTCACAGGTTTCAAATTGTCTTCGAGCAGCTTCCTGAGAAGAACCTCGTTGCCTTCCTTGCACAGACGGTTAGGAAGCCTGGGGTAGAACCTCTAATGGCGCTGGACAGCACTGCTGGCCTGCCTTCTCCTCTTCACTTCTCCCTTCCGCCTGCTTGTGGACAATCTAGTCTCACTGCTTCTGAGCATATCCCTGTCTCTTGGCTTCCGCCGTCATTTTTCTACCTTTAAGGCACCCACAAGTGTTTCTTTGAAACTTTTCTTCTTAGGAAGAACTTGACAGAGAACGGTACACAAAATCCACTGACAGGACGAACAATCCTAGCTGGGCCTGTCCCAGGGGCTGCTCCCCACTGGCCACTCGACATGGATCCGGCAGCAGAAGCTCCCGCACCCCGCAAACGGTGTGGGCCCGGCTCTCTGCCCGGCACAGCACAGTTGGTACGAGTCTGCTAAGTGTAGGGATTTGGGGGTGCTGTCTGTTACGAATACCTTAAGAGCTTCTTGGCTACTGTCAAACCTTTTCTGACCTGCCCTGGGCTCTGTCTATCTGATACTGGTTGTAGTAACGCTCCTGTGCTCCATTAAAACAAAAGGATCCTGCTCAGCCTGCGACCTCCCAGGCCTTTGTTTTCCGCACCGCATCGGCGTGTTCTGTAGCTGACGCACGTGGGCTGAGTGCGGAGCCTCCAAACCACAGCCACCTGCTGGGTGCTGAGGCCCAGAGGGTAACGGTTGGGGCTGCCTGTAAGCCCAGCCTACAGAATGGGTGAAATCTCTAGCCTGCCAGACTCATGTGCTGTCTCCTGGAGGGAGACTCAGGCCCAAGGTGTCTTCCTTGAGGACAGCCAGGGGAAAGACCTGACACACATGGCCGGGCCAACTCTGGGACCCTCTCACGGAGCTGCAGAGTGAACAAATGCAAGCTGACACAGCATGCACCCACTCCCAGCTTCACTCTAGAATCAGGAAGTTTCTGTCCTAGAGGGATCTGACCTGGGGCCAAACACACTGGTGTTACACTGAATTAAGTGGAGGCAACGGTTTGATAGCCACGATATCCTGAGGCACGTGGAAAGCAGCCTCCGTCCCCAACTGGCAGAGTCGTCACAGTCCAGAGCTTTGTTTGGATCCAGCTCTGGACCCTGCTCTCCTGAGCGCGTCTTCATTCCACTCACTGATCTTCATTCAATATCCCCATGTGTTTGTTCGTGAGGAAGTCCAGAAAAGGAATGTTGCAAATGGCCTGGTGAATGTTACTCACTGTAATTTCTTTGGGAACCCTGGTCCAAAAAAACAAAGGCTGTTAGGTGCAATTCGCTCAAGCATCTAATAATCAGTTAATTTATCTACAGGACCAGCTCTTGCACAGGCCCTGAAAAAGAGGATAATGATGAGTGACAAGGCATGGTTTAGGGCCACCTGAGGGGCGGGGAGTGGCCAGGTACAGTCTTTCTCTCTTCTTTCCTATTAATTCCTTTTAACTTTGGTGAAGATTTGGCCTACTCTTTTCAGTCAGTGCTTTTTAGGGCTCAAATCTGACTTCCCAGTCACAGGTATGAGACTGATTTCAAAAAGCTGGTGGAATGATTAAGAAAAAAAGACTCTGAGGGTTGAGAAAAGAGGAAGTAAAGTGGAGAGCAGGACAATGACATTTTTGTAATTCAGTCTTAGCAGACTGAAAGCTGAGCCAAAGCACCACAGAACTCTGGGACCGTATTTCCCGTCACTTGGAAAGATGGGGAGATGGGCGTTAGGCCAGGCCAACTGTGACGCTGAATGTTCTTATCTAGGGCATCCAAGTCCCTCCCTGTCTCCACAGCGAGGACGATGGAGGTGAGTGGGGGCAACAGCAGGTGCTCAGCCTCCCTGGATTTCAAGCAGGATCATGAGCAGCATTACTGGGACTCCTGTGTTTCCCCTCGCTTTTTCTTCAAGGCCTCTTGTATCCTGCCCAATGCATTGTATTCCTGTGAAGTCTGATATCTCCCTGATTTAGGCCTCTGCACATCTGCAGGCACTCTGTTATAGTTTCATAAATTTAAGACAGCCATTAAGCACAATGAGATAAAATGTTTCCTTTGAAAGGGACACCAGGATGTGGAACCAAGGCCTGCGTACCACTCTTTCAAGGCCCAGGAAAAGAACAAAATTCTGCGTCCCAATCAGTGGTAGAGAAGCAGCAAAGATGGTGGTGAACCTGTGGGCTTTACAGCCAATGAGATCTGAGTGTGAATCTAGATTCTATCACGTGTCTGCTGGGGAAGCCAGGTAAGATTACATATTTCAAAGCCAGGTTTCCCAATTTCTATAATGGGAGTAAGAGTTCTACAATGAAAAGCAAATTAGGTAACATATGTAATGCCTGGCTCCAACACCTGATATTTAATGGACACTGCTATTATCTTTAATTGCAAAGAGCTGGTATTCCACGTGGTAACATAACAGAGTCCTGCTGAACAGTGTCTATGAAGCAGTGACTGGGGAGATACCAGCCTCTGGGCAAAGCTGAGCTTTCACAACCAAGAGGTTCCCTCAAAATGACCAAGCAGACCCTTCAATCTGTCTGGCTCTGAGAATGTCCCAAGCACTGATACCTCATCTCCTACTGGATTGACTGAAGTATAAAACTTCTTGATGGGCAACTAAATGGTCAGGAAATCTCTGTAAGCCCAATACCACCGATGAAAGAGACAATGGTACCTGTTGTGGGATGCTGTCTGGTATCCAACCGCCAAAGCCTGCCTCAGGATGTCGTTCACCAGCTGCTCTGTAGCCTGCAATAGAAGGTGTGTGACTCCCCAGAATGGCCGTCTGCTTGCGGGCCAGAGGGGGGCATCCAGCCCCATTCCACACCCTAAACTTTGGAAACAACTGTATCTAAGGATCAAAAGCCCTCAAGAGAAAATTTAAGGTCCGAATAATAGGCCACAATGATAGAGGCTGTGAGTCTGAGAAATTATGAATGGGGGTAGTTTTCATTAATCAGATGCTGTTTTTAAGGAAAACAAGCGAAAGTGAGAGTTATTTGTGAGGCACCCCCGCTGTGGGAGGAGACCCACCAAGCGAGGAGCTGCGGAGCTCAGATCTGACTGGGTAAGGAAACTGGTTTTTGTCATCCCCTTGCTCGGGGATGGCACAGTTGTGGCTCTTTGTTGTTGTTGTTGTTGTGACATGTGGAGAAACCCCAACGCTTTGCCTTTGTCACCTCCTAAAGCAATGAGAGCACTGACTCTCACCTCAGACTACTGAAAAAGCACTTGAAATGGCACTGAAAGATATTGTTAGAGTGACACCAGCAAAGAAATTATTATTGGAGATGCTTCAACACTCAGAGGAAACATAATCTAATTCACTTAAAAATCAGGGGGGG